TCTTGTAAGGCTATTCTAGAAATTTAGTTAAACTCTTTAAGTAAAATAACTTACTCTGCTTGAACTCAGAAAATTTTTCTTCGAATTAAATATTTTGGCTGACTAAATTGATTGACGATCCAAGAAAAGCATTTGCCACTCAGCTTGAATGGTTTTAATTTTTTGCGAACGTTATTATGCCCTTCAAAAATTACTAAGAATAGGTAGTGCAAAACCTTGACCTTCTTTAGAAGCAGAACTTATTAGGTCAAAATCATTTAGATAAAAAAAAAATCATTGACTTTATTGAAATGCTTTTTTGAAGACCCCTTTATAATGTATGTCATGATAAAATTTTTTTTCGTAAATAAAATTCGTATTAAAATGCAAACGAATGTCAGTTTACCAAAACCGATAACGAACAATTATTAATTGTTGATCATTCAGTCGATTGACTGCAACACATCTGCCCAAGCATGAGCATGCCTTAAGAAACAAGTTTGAGATCAGTCATTTTTGAGGGACAATTTTCAAGCGGAGCAGGTAATAATTCTACTCAAAGATTGTAACCGATTGAATTCAATAAAAAGTCAGTAATTTTTCTTTATTACCAAAAAAATATTTTTTTCAAGCAAACATACCATGAGTCAAAAGTTTGGAGTACAAGAGCTTAATCATATTTTTTTTTTTAATTGAACGAATGCTAGTTCATTAAAATTAATAGCAAATGGTTATTTTGGTATTGTCTAATCAAAACGACAGATAGAACTAATATTTAAACGTAACTTTTAAATATATACTATATCTTCTGATGCTTAACGAGAAAAAAATATTAATAACCATTCCGTAGAGACGTTTTATTCTTAAAATTCGACGCTTTTTGAGAATTTTAAATAAAATCCGTAATTCATACCCAACATCAAAAAATAAATTTTCTGTTTTTAATTTTTTTATTTTAGCCGTAGCATAAGCTTTCTTTTTGAAAATTTATGATTTTTTACTCGAAAAACATGGTTGTAGGGACAATAGCTTGGTCGCACTCAGTATAAATTAGATATTAAAATACTTGAAAGGTTTATTTGTAAGATCTGTACATTAAATTATATAGTGTAGGTATTAAATGAAAAATAGCTATAATGGGTAACAGCAAAATTTTTTATTAAAGTACATCAATTAAACAAACAACCCTACTAGGTTTTATGTATAAAGAGTTCTGATTAATTTTTTTTAAGATCCGCATGTGTTGCAACTAACATATGATAAATATTCTTATGTATTCTAATTTTTGAATTTTACAGCTACGGTTTGTGAATCACTATTTGAAAAATATTTCAAGAAAATAGAAAATTCCCACTTTCGACAAAAATTAAGATTTTATTTTAATCTAGAAAATCGTAAATAAATTGATCTTGGGTTTTTTCGATAAAAATCCAATGTTCGTTTAATTTTTTTCTGAAGTTCTCGATTGCTTGACTATTAAAAAAAAGTTTGTATGAAAAAAAAAAAAAAAAAAAAAAAGCCAAAAATGAGTGAATACTACAGTCTTATAGCGTACCAATTACAGTTTTTTACTGCACAATACCACAGATTCCACCTATCCAATGACGTACACAATTGCCATGTGAAACCTCTTCATTGATATTGATAACCTATTAGTATCTGTCATAAAATTAAAACGCCGCTATTGCTGTTGGGAATCCCCCCTTTTTTTATTAATAAAACTCTAATGAGTACAAAAATGTTTTATTTTTATCATGAATTGTACATTTATCATCTACACGACGCAAAATGATTGCTTGTGTGGTATAACGGCTTTTCCGAGTCTTTATCTTTTCTTTTTTGGTCAGCGTTCGCTTCCAGTGCAGCTTTCGTGATGTGAGATTTGTCGCTGTAGGCTTCTTCGAAAACTAGAACTGCAGCAGTCAATATTGAGACCCCGGCAAACACGATTAACATTATCAGCTCCAGAATGACCTGCACGAAAACACAAACAATTCTTTAACTGTGATAATGCATTATGCGTTTGAATGTAATTAAAACTGAGGGAAAAAGTGCATTTTTTGTCACAGAATAGACATTCAGATTTTTTGTTTTTTTTTGTTTTTTTGTTTATGATAATAATTATGTAATGAATAAAAAATATTGCTAAATATCAACTTTTTACTCATTCAAAAAGTATAACAAAAATTATTTTTTCTGAAAAAATTAAAAAGTGCATTAATTTTGGTTTTTACCTTTTTGCAACAACATATTATTTTCTCCAATTAAGTAAAATTTCTTTACCTTTTATTCGTGATGATAAAAGTGAATTAATTTGTTAAAGCATGTACATATGATATTTTTTAATAGATTCAAATTAATGTACAAAGAAGAAAAAAATTCGTGTTGAAAATGAGGTCATACACATAAATCTCGTATTTACTCGACTACATCGACATGACTCAGAGAAAACAAGTTCAATGTTATATTATCGTACAACGTGATTTTCGAGCAAACGTTCTCCTGTAAACTTTTTTTTTTTTTTTTTTATCAATTTACACAGATTATTCGTTTCTACTACAATAAAATAATAAAATCACAATTTTCCTTTAAAAAATCAATAATACACATTTAAATCGAAGCTCACAAATTGTATTCCTCAAACGTCACAATATTGTTTGAATAAATCTTTTTTTTTTAATTTATTTCAAATATTATTACTCTTCTAAATATTTACATCACCCCGAGCCAAGTGTGTTTATGAAAACACGAACAAATTTGCATATTTTCGACCGATTTATCGAAGAAAAAAAAAAAAAAAAAAAAAAAAAAAGAAAAGAAAACGTATGACCAAGCAAAAAGTTTTCTCACAACACACCGAAAATCAACAACACCTGGAATCAAAAGTGCATGTCATATCTACCAAAAATAATATACGAAATCGTACACGCGTGNGGGTTTTTTCGATAAAAATCCAATGTTCGTTTAATTTTTTTCTGAAGTTCTCGATTGCTTGACTATTAAAAAAAAGTTTGTATGAAAAAAAAAAAAAAAAAAAAAAAGAAAAGAAAACGTATGACCAAGCAAAAAGTTTTCTCACAACACACCGAAAATCAACAACACCTGGAATCAAAAGTGCATGTCATATCTACCAAAAATAATATACGAAATCGTACACGCGTGCAACGCCGGCGCGTGCGTTTTTGTTGTTACTTTGACGAATACTACATAAATTGGGGATGTACCTCGAAAACGACTCTGAGGATGATGACGAGATGCTCGTGCTTGTACAGCCACTGGCACATGGTGAAGGGAGACAAAATAGCCGCGAGCAGCGCGTCCAGCGCATATATTATGGCACTGGTGATTAATTTGGAAGCGACCGAGCAGGAACTATCTCTGTGGATTTTTTTTATTTTTTTTTTTTTTTCATGCATCCATAATTTCAAATATATGTAGCTTTTTGAACAAATGCTGTAACGATCAAGGGGGGCACAATACTAACCTGATTGGCGATCGTCGGCGAAACTCGAGGGTCTCGTAAGCGTAGTCGCCAGCGTTTTCTCGCAATCCTCGACGGACAACTCGCAGATCTGTCATATTATCATGTCGTTGACTTGGAATTTTCAAACCGCATTGTTTTTCCTGGGAATATCGCGAAAAACCATCTGCCCTCGACATTAACGCAGGTGATACGTGAATTTCTTTCGCTGGACGCATTTTCGTTTGCGGAACTGACAGGCGTTTGTTTATTAATTTTTTTTTTTTTTTCACACTATAGAAAATATCATTCTGGATATGCATGTATGTTTTTTTTTTTTTTTTTTTTTTTTCAAAATTAGTACGATGGTAAGAAGTAGTGGTACACGAATACCCAAGTAATTTTAGTTTTCAAACAATTTAATAATTATTTTATCACCTAGCTCATGCAAAAATATTTTTTCACTAGCTGTATTTTTTTTTTATTTCATAAAAATTCAAGCTTACCTAATATTATCTCAATATTGATTTCGAAGTGATAAAAACTGAAAAATTATATGAAATTCAATCGAGTTATTTTACACTCAACTCACAAAATTGTAGTGTATGAAAATGGAGTACAGAGGCAATTTGTTTAAATAATTATATTTTGTACTTGAATCATAATTACAGGATGATTTTATAATTTGAATGATTTTGATAAGAGTTTCGGTAACATATAACCAGATCTCAGTTTATGTTCATTTATAAATATTTTCAATTGATCCCAGATGGATTAAATTAAATAACGTCCAAAATGATTTCATGGATTAAACAGCCTCTTGCTCGTTCGGGAAAAAATCAGATAAGGAATTAAATAATCCCATTTGCTTTGGATAATTTTAAATTTTATTTCACAAAAGTAAAAAAAAAAAGTATGAATAATTACAAAAAAAAAGAATAATATACACTTAAAATTGAACTCTTTGTTTAGCATGAGTTTGAAATTACCGACATAATGTCTACAAATCGGTATAAACTCATCTGCTCCAGTACAATAACTATAACCATGATACACTATTATTATACCCATTCCACGCAATGATCCAAATTAACAACAGCAGGTTAGAATCGATACAACAAATATACAGTATCTTTTCAGTGTGCGTACATTAAAATTTTTTATTTTTTTTTTCATTACAATAATAAGTATAAAATGATAAATAACGATAATAATAAATAATAATACTATACACAAGATTTGCCAAACCTACACTTATAATTCCCTAAACGCCTATTATTGTTATTGAGCCGTAAAACTCACTTAGTATCTAGTCACACCAACCTAGTCACGTGGGCAAAGAAGAAAAAAAAAAAAAAAAGTTGTATCATTGTTATTGCAACTTAATCCGTCAATGTCACTAACGAAGCGAAGAGGAAAAAATTTGGTTCCCTGCCAGTTAACGTTCGTACAATCGATCCAAATAAGGAAATATCTTCAACACAGCGCGCAACCAGAGCCCCGAAATTTCTTTCTTCGTGTTAAAAAAAAAAAAAAAAAAAAAAAGGTATAAAAACACAACCATCATCAACATAAATTAGAAATACTGTGCGTGTCTTGTTATATGCGACCGTACGCGGGCAATTAATACCGATGGATGAAATATCTGTGTGGCCGATTGCTCCTCCGGACACCCGTGCCGGCCGATTTTCCGTTCCGAGTCTTCAGCCGCTTGGCCACCTGACTCCGGTAAACAAACAGCGGCCGGAAGACCTTGGCCTCCTCCGCTTCGAGGTCGTCGAGCTCGTTTCTCCCCGACGCACCTTTACCCACGGATCTTCGAACTATCGGCGCTTTGGTTGCTGCCGATTTGTCCAACTCGAGGATATCCCCGAGATCGGTTGTTGCTGGTTCCATTGGTGGGACGTCTGGCATTGCTGCGCTCGGGTCCTTGTCGCCCTGGATGTTATGGAAAATTCAATTAGTGTGTCATCGGTATGAATGCTGCTTTATCATTATGGTGTTGTGGCGACAACCAACTAATTGTTTATTGTTGATGTTTGAAAAAAATTTTGTGTACCTACGATATTTTATTTTATTTCATCATCTTGTCTTCTTTTGATGAAACTTACATTTTACTTCTCTAGACTTGTATTTCAAGTATTCGTAAGATGTATACAAATATTATGTCGGGTGAAATCACGTATTTTCGATAGAAAGGAAAATGGGCATACTTTTAAGTATTCGTGTGTTGAAAATCTCTTGTATTATGAAAATAAAAAATAAAAGGAAGCACGCAAATAAGTAAAAAAAAAAAAAAACTCTACAGTTAAGAAGTAAAACAGAAATTAGTAATTTGGATAAGAAAAAAGGGATGTCCAAAAATTAAAAAAAAAAACTAAAGGGGCGAGAAGGTGAAAGATAGTGAATGAATTAACGGCAGAGCTCCAAGCAAGGAATAAAGAAGCTAAGGAAAAGTGTTTGTTAGAAATAATCTCTTGTCAATAGAAATAAAAAAATTAAGAGGATTATCTGATTAAGGTAAAAAAAAGTAATTAAAAATGTGATGCAGTAAGATATTACTATACAAGTGAAAATACGTTAATCTCCAGAGCATTAATTTCAAAAATAGATAAGGGAGTCAGATGCTTACAAATTGAACATAGAATACGCTGGAAAGAAAAAGAAAAGTTAAGAAAAAAGTACCCATTCAGAGAAAAAAGAAATTAATTATTAGATATCGAAGCATGTCTTTAGCTATGTAAATATATACATCAGTGATGGTGAAAATTATCTTAGGGTAATAGGACAGAGATCAAATGATATACAAACATTATTGGAAAAAAAAATTCATTTAAAGTTTAATGAGCGATCCAATAGTTAGAAACTAAAAATCTTTAGCAGAATCTTTGTATAAGGGTTTAGAAAAGACATCAAGATACATTATTTAAAAGTGAAAATGCGATGTGATAATATATTATAGAATCAGTAAACAAAAACGCGTGGATCTGTCTACACATACAACGTTAAAAAAAAAACACGCCTAAAATAATTGTTTGTTTATATACTATAGAATATTTAAAGAAATTCTACTATGGACCATGCAGTAAACAGATGATGCAAGGTGAGTCTAAATTGATTATAAGTAAAAATATAAATACACAGTGAACTGGGCATTAGTGAGGTAATCAAACTGTTCAACGGATACACGTGAAAGGTATGAATATGTGCGCATAGTGCAGCCAATTGTAGCCGCTTGATCTGGTACTTAAGATTGTCGAGGTATAAAAAAAAGTTTATGTGAGCAGTACGTACAGTTGGGATGGGTAATATTTATCTTGAAAAAATAATCAAATGAAAAGCAAAACGAATTAGGTATAGCGTATTCTCGTGTGCGGTAAAAGTGAAAGATAATCCAATAGTGTCGTAAACATTTTTAAAACATTTAAAAAAAATTATTTTCCAAGCTAACAAAACTGTAGGATATAAAAAATCGAATTGACGTTTCACGTAGAAAGTATAATTTACTAACGCGAGTCATAAAATAATCAGTAAATTCCAATTCTCTTTTCAAAAATGGTTGAAAATCAAAATAAAAGAAACTTATCGTACAGCAAACAAAATCGTTCTTTGTAGACACTTTGAGGATGCAATAACTATTTTTAAGTCTGGAACCGTCCCAAATTATGATCGATGAGATATAAATAAACCGAGACCCAAAGATGGAGATTATCAATGGAAAATATTTACACGGTACAATAAGTACACTTCAGTTGGCAAAAATTTATTTTCAACCGATACACACGAAACCTCAATTTTGGACGAGGAAAAAGCAAACGTAAAATTAAAAAAAAAAAAAAAAAAAAAAAAAAAAAAAAAGAAAAAATAACAAATCATTAGCTACAT